GGGGGCGGCGGGGCCCCGGATCCTGCGGCGGGTGGGCAGGCAGGCTTGGATGTGGCGAGGGGCTGGGGGCGAAGAGGAGCCTCGCGGGGGAGTTTTAGTGCTTTCCTCCCTCTTTCCCCACTTCCTGGTGTTGGTAAAAATCAGAAAAAAGTTAACCAAGAAATGCTGGAAGTTTCCAGTAAAGGCAGGGCAGCTGACCCACTGCGGGGCTGGATGTGGCCAGCCAAAAAAAGCCAAGTTTGGGGTTTTCTTTCTTTTCCCCAAAGAAAACTTGACCTCTCCTTTGAAAAGTAACCCCGAGGCTCTCAGGAAAAATTACCACCAGCTGTTTCAGATGGCTTGACTTTCAGAAAAAAAAAGTTGCCCCCTCCCCTCTGAAAAATGTGTTTAAATCAGAGCCCAGTTTTCTTGTCAAAAAGGTGATTTTTCTCCCACCACCTGACTTTTCTCCCACCACCTGATTTTTCTCTCACCTGCTTGTCACCAGTGGGTTACAAACAGCAGTTCCGGTGACACAGGGAGAAAAATAAGATTTCTCTAAGAAACTCATTTCTCTCTCCTGATACATCCAGTAAGTGCAACGCATGTATGTACCATGTACCAGCCCAAGGAGGTATTTTTGCTCTAGAAAACAGCCACAGACATGGAACAAGCAGCTATGCAATGATTTCATAGATCTTCATGAAAGATCTAATGGGAGAAAAAGGAAAAATTTCTCAAGGATGGGATCAGACAAAAATAGCCACTGGGCGAGCGTAGAGAGCAGCCTGGCCAAGCGAATTCCTGGGATGCTTCTTCCTCGCTCCCCACTTCATTCTAAGCAGCCCAGCGCCCGCCAGAAGCGGTCCAAACTCACACGACTGCAGTCGGACACATCAGGCAGGCAGGCAGGCTCACACGCCACTGGGCTGCAACGCAAGCTGCTTCCTTACCTGCCTTCCCCTATAATTAATGTGCATTGAGTCAGAGGGAGAAAGGATGGGACAGTAGGAAAAAAAGAGAAGGAAAAAAAAAAACCCACTAGGGAAAAGAAAACTTAGGCATCTTTTTGTGTGCATTGCCCTCTGGTGAGCCTGAGTAGTCGGAGCTCGTGTACGGCTTGACATACACCCAGGGCAAGTGTTTTAAAATGAAGATCCATGTTGATATTTAATGGATTATATTTTATCTGCCTACTCTTGTCTCCAAATCTACAACAGCAGTCTGTCATCTGCCACTTATTTGCTTCTGAACAATGAATGAGGAGGGGTAGGGGTCATAGAAAGGGAGATTTTAGTAGAGGAAAAGTTTGGGGTGAACCTTAGAGGTAACACGGAAAATAACGTTGCCCTCTGAAGTTCAGACCAAGTTGTCCCATCAAATTTATTCAAGGTAGGAACCCGCCAAAAACATTTCAATTTCCTCGCTATTTTACAGAAGGGCTATGCAATCATTCCCACAGGGAGGAAAAAAATAGACTTTGTTAGGTTTTTAGATGCTTTTTAAAAAGTTTCATTAAAGCGCTGTTAAATGCCCAAATGACCAGGGTGATTGCATCCCCCCCAAGCCCCGCCAGGTTTCCTTGCCGGGAAGGTGCCGCCGTTCCTTACCTTTCTTGGAAGCCACTGGCTTTTGCCGGACTTTGGCGTTTTGCTGGCCGGAGACCTGGGCGAGGGAAAGGAGGCAGAGGAGCAGGCAGGCTCCCCAGAGCGCCATGCTGCTGCTGTCCGGCGCCGAGCGGAGGTGGATTGGCTCTGCTCTGCCCTCAGACAGCCGGCTTAACACCGGCTTGGCTCAGAAATGGCTGTCCCAGAAAGCTGCCTGCTGAGCCCTGGCCAGAGGCAGCCTTGGGGCGGCCCCCGCCGGGGCGGGGGGGGGCTCGGGCGGCTCTGGCCAAGGCTGAAAACATCCAAGCGGGTTTGCATTTCTTAGCACGCTGCTTGTTTTTGGTTTAAAAAAAAAAAAAAAAAAGGAAGGGAATGAATCTACTGAAAGTCTGCTAAGCTAAACATAAGGAAAGGCTGTGGAATGATTTCCTATGGATTTTAGCAAAATGCCATGGGTTTGATCTCATGTGTCAGCAATGGCAACGATGATGTGAGGTGGGAAACAGTTTGGGTGGCTGAGGGAATGGGGGGGGGGG